AAGTGACAGTCTATTTTTTTTTTAGTTGAAATGACCTTAGTAAAAGTAGAGAAATGACATATTTGTTGGAATAAACAAAATCATATGATAATATATAAGGATATAATCATTAGTTTGATTGTGATTTTTTTAGAGAAATCAAACGATGATGATCTAAATTTTGTGTGTACGGATTAGTGAAATAACATTGAACCAAAGTTACATTGTTTGTCAAAGTGAAATGCATCTATGCCTTAAAAGATTAGTTATTAGATATTGTATAGTTAGTTACCAAGGTAATTTCTAATGTCAAGAATAGTTAAGGCAGACTGATAATTCAATAACATGAGATAGATACGTAAAAGGTAAACTGGTAACTTCTTGTACACTGCTTAACTGTAATCTATTTTCTTAAATGAAAAATATCCATTGTTTGCAGTGAGATTTTATGCGTTCTTAAAGTGTATTAGAGAAGTACGATAGCCTAGACATCATGTTGAGATGGATTCAGCTAGGAGATCGTTGGCCAATGTGATTTGTACATGAAATTCTATAAGTTAACCAGCTATAGAATTCCGTTTCAACCTCAGTAGATTAAGACTATCAACTGAATAACGTAAATGATATTCCTAATTTGTTTGATTATTATTTTTCAATATCTATATTATCATTCTGAGAGAGTAACGCAATACATCATGAACAAGGTTTATTGATATGAAGTTGTATTGCTTGTGGAAATAAGACATTTTTACTAGTAGTTCACATTTTTATGCTTATAATAGACAACCTAGTTTAGGAGTAGCTGATCATATCTTAAAAAGTTGAACTGAACATAATAAGAAACATGACAGACAGTCTAATGTAGTTTTATAAAAATCTAAAGAAGAACACACACGAAAAGGTTATAGATAAACAAATAAGATAATGAACAATGACCAAAGTCACAGAGTGATTTAATGTATTTTTAGTTAATCAATTAAATATATTATTAACTTACATATCTGGATTACTAGTCGTTTGTTTGCACAATTGAGCATATAATTCATCGCGTAAATTTGCTGAACTTAAAGCACGATGAATAATAATTGAACCATAATCTGGTAAACTAAGACGTGCTTTTCTATCGCCCATAAATGATTGAATCACTATAATAATAACAATAATCCAAATAGAATAAAAATTTTAATTAGAAATAAAGTGTTACAATAATTATTATTTCGTTAAACTAAACTATAGTACGAATTATATTTCTGGCTCAGGTGGTTGATTATTGGTGGAGTTTGGTTCTTTGAGTTGGATGTTCCAGTTGTGGCGTTTTCATTGTTATTCTGAACAACATCATCAACACAAACTTCAGGTAGAAGTTATGTGTAGAGAAATTAGAATAATTTATTTCTACTTGAAGTTTGTGCGTTGGACATAACAATCCAGTTACTTCACTTTAAATTTTGTCTACATATAAGTTACGGAAACGAAGAGCTAGAAATATATGGCTGTGTGTGAACTTTCAAGTCGAGCCCACAGGGCTTGGTCTCAGCCTTTGGAAAATTTAATCAATTCAGCATTGTTGAGTTATTTACGTTTTCCGACCTTGCCAACTATTCACTTTTATCTTAGTTGTTTCTATTCCAGTGTGTGTGTGTCGCTTACTTCGCTTATCACATGTCTGGCTTACTTTTATTTGACTAGAAATGCTTGGTCATACCTCATTACATTGGGTTCGCTCGCTTGCCTTCTCCACTTTGCTTTGCTTTGCTTTACACCGCTTTGTATTTTCATGTCTGTCTGCACGAACGGTAGCCTAAAATGAACTCATTCAACCGAGTCTGTATTTGGCTACTAATTACCGCCGTCGCACAAACGGGGGTTCGCATAATTATGATTATAAGGGAACTGAAGGGAGGATTTATTTCATAGTAATATTTAATTTCTCATAAATAAAGTCAACATTGAATCAACGTCAAGATGTTTTATTGAAACATATTGTGGAATATGTTTTCAGTGGAAATGAATTTTATATTTGAAGAAGATACAAGGTGAATCACAGTTAAGGAAAGTCAAATGAAGTTTATGACAATTCATGAACACAATGATAATGGTGTTTACAATGTACCCCTCATATACTCCATAAGATATGTTCAAAAATACGGAATATGTACGTGAAAATTTCTCACTACCTTTTGACGTATTCATGAGAAATACAAGAGAAAAAAACTGCTCTTTTGTACGGGGGAATAACAACGAAATATCTACAGGAACAAGAAATAAACACTACCGGATAAGGCCAGTCATCAGCAGCACTGAACTAGGAAAACATGTGCATCGGAGCATGTCGACATACCGTATATTAGCATAGCGGGATAAATTAACCGAATGTATTTTTATACTGTTAAGTAGAATGCTAGTCAAGAGACAAACGTAACGATGTGATGCAGCCAAGTGACGGCTATTCACGAAACTACATTGTTGAATTAGACCACCAAAATCAAAGACAAATCGGCTAATCAGATAAACAGATTCCCAGGTAGCGAAATAACGTGGTTATGTACAGAATACAATGTCATAGGTGATTGGAAGAAATTAGTTAATAGGTCACCCACTCTCTAACCAATACAGACCTAACTGTTGGGTTTGACCTTTGGTGATAGAACTTCTCTATTAGAACCATAGATCGAAATAAATATAATAACTGAAAAGAACATTCATCACATTGAAATTAATAACATATCATCAGTATATGGCTTGAAATGAAAAATAAAAGTTATACATTATGGCTGTATAGTTCTAACATATTAGGTATAAAGTGTATAATTCCTGTCAGATGAGAACAAACGATTTAACAGAAAAAAAACTATGTTACGTGAATTTATCGATTGCTTTACTCGTTAATTATTAAGGAATGATGAAGATGAGGATAATTAGGAGGTATAAGAATAACTTCATTTTTAGCATGAAGTCAAACAGGAGATTGTAGATTGATCAAAGTTGGAAGAGTAAAACATCTTTTGAAACTGGTTCATAAGCTACAAGATATCATGTTTATCAAAATATTCAAGTGTTTCAGGTTCAATTTTTTAAGAAGTACACAGTAGGTAGTGTTATAACTAAATCACTGTATAATACCCATCTAGTTTTCAATGATATTCCATGTGATGTCATTTCATAACGGAAACGGACATCAAAACAATGGCTTTGACCAAGCTAATTTAGTAAACTAGGTGTTAGTTTTATGATAACCAATGACAGAATGTATAACATCAACTTCATTACACGAAAAATTTAGTAATTCATATCTATTAATGATAAGTAATATCGCATTTGCCTAATCTCTAGTGTTAACTAAATTCCATCGACCCAGTGTTCTGTGGGATTACGCCTTGCTGACGAGTGTCACAACTGACATATCTTAGTGACTTTCCGATTGCCAGCTTTCCAACACATGATAGAATAAGTATCCGCCACATTTTAAGAAAGAAATAAAACTGATCGACTAAAAATAAATACATTTATCTGGGACGGGTGGGGGGAAATGTGTCTAGTGTCAGTGGGCAGAAACAATCGATTGGAAAGAAGAAATGAAATCAATCAACGGAAAACAACACAAAGACCAATATTTTTATATGATCAATTAAGACTTTTGTTATCAGTTACAAGATAATTTAAATCATAAATTGTAATCAGTGTTGATCGAAATTAGAGAAACTGAAACAATTACATTAAACATTATTGAATAAGCAAGAATAGAATTTAGTGAATATGTATAACGGTAATTAACCCCCAAAATGATACAGACTAACTAAAAAAGTAAACTCTTAACAGTCAAAGGACACACGGACTTAATTATTATAGTATAGGGTGCTTCCAGGTTTTCAATGGTGATCTAACATTGATCGATTTATGATTGTAATATTTAAACCCAAATGTGACATATCTAAAAAGACTTTCTGTACCAATGATTTGATAAACTGTTATGTTGTCTGAGTGATTCATCTATTATTCCCAATATTAAACTTGTTATATCCGTCAACAAATGACGAATAGTTGAAAATGCATACTTTCGAATTGACACGCATAATTTATCATATTCTCACTATTGATTAGCTTCGTGAGGAAATTCTTGGAGTTCTAGTGGGAAGACGTGACTAGTGGAATTTAACCCTGTCGGGTGTGAGGCAGCTAACAACCGAAGACAATGAGTAGAATCGCGCAGTATCATGGATTGGTTGAAATTAGACATTAACACCGTTGGATGCGGGCTCGGTGGTCTGCAGGTTAAACGTTCTCGCACGAGACCAAAGGTCCTGCGTTCGATTTCCGCATGTGAGGGCTGTGGAAGCGCAGTGCTACTGAGTCCCATACTAGAACGAAACGGCCGTTCAAGGCTTTCAGGTTTCTAATGATGCTCTAAAACTGATCGATTCGTGATTTCAACAAAAGCTCAATTTAACGTGACATCAAGCAATATAGGAATTTTTAGCATTTCAGAATTAATGAATATGGCATTCAGGTTTTAACTCCGCCAGTAGAACCTTCGGCGCTACTGCCGGTCCCAAGCCCAGATAAAGGAGTAGGGTTGGCGACCCCATCCCGTCAAAAACGAACTTGCCAAAAAACGCTAACCCATTCAGGCTTTAGCATGTATTTTGTTTCTGCGACTACTGAGCAACATACTCAGACAAATAATTGATTATTTCACAAGAAATGACTAACAGACATTTATGAGAAGAGAAATGATTTTAAAAATATAAAGTTTATTTTTTAGAGCTACTTCTTTATCAAAAGAAAACTAGCACTGCAGATATTTAGAAAATAACAGATGAAATTTTAAGCGCAGGTGGATGCTCTGAGCTGAATGATTCGAGTACACAATAATTAAATGTAGAAGCTGTTGGAGATTTTGTCCGAAACGACAGTGGCAGCTGAGTAATTTAACCATCTAGCACAAAGTACATAACATAACTAACAGATATCTTTAGTTTCTAGATTAATTCTAGTCACGATATGTCAAGTGTATCAGTTTTATAAAATATTGATAGATGGGGCAATGTATCACACAAACATCTGATGACTAATTTACTGATATGCAGTTTGTTCTTTCCGAACAATCGGTAAAATTCCTGTTTCAATTTTCTAGCCTGAAGTCCATTACCAGCAAAACCTTTAAATCTAAACTTAATGTCTAAATTATAACATAATTTTCGTGTGTGTGTGTGAGAGAGAGAGAGAGAGAGAAAGCTGTGTCTAAATTAAATCTTCACATCGCATTTTTGATGATCAAATAGAATGTGAGAGAAATAAACATCAGTAATCTAATACACGACAAATATTATTTTCTAAATCTTATTTTCAATCACTGCCTATATTTACTGTGATCTTTGATGCAGAATATATGAATTAACAAGTGTTCTAATGATGATCGTTCGATTTGGCACAGTATCTACCAGCTACATTCACTATATTGTGACATGAAGTTCTTACTGCCCAACTCATTGATTCAAAGGTGGCAGTGCTTTTCCATAAGGCATTCCATAAGGTATTCTGTTTGATCCCTAGGTAGGCGTAAGTAGGTAATGGGTGATCATCAATGAACAGTTATACACTAAGATGACATAACTGTTCAGTATTGAGGCAAAGTAAACTTAATCTGTTATATAAGCTATCTGTTAAGTTATCAACACAATTTTTTTTAGCAACAAGTAACTTTCATATATGTCCGATCAGCCATTTATGAAAGCCACAATACGATAAAAGTAGGCGTAAACATATATGGCCTTGTGAATTTAAGCATGATATTTTCAATGAATATGACAACTATACGAAACAAAATTGTATACGATATTATTAATGTGAGAATTATTTGTCAATCAGCCCACGCTTATAGAAAGAAAAATTTTAATTTAACTTGATTAAAAATAAAATATATATAAAGAAATATCACACTAACTGTTAATTAAGCACTAATCGATAGAAGCAACGTCAGATGTACAACAGTATGATAAACAATGCTATGATGAATGACAGAAAGGAAAATTGTGATAATTTTGTTGTAAAAGCAAACAAAATCCGGAACGTGATGTAATACTATTTACTTTAATTACTTTAGTGAAAAAAAGCACTGAGTGACATCATTAAACTGATTAGATAAACAAAGAATAAACATCATGAAATAATGGAGACCATTTGTAGATCAAGATGATTTTGGAGGCGGTATATTCTCTCACTTAAACAGTTTATCTTTAAATCATGAATGAATCGTTGTTAGACTACCATTAGAAACCTGGAAGCATTGGACGACCACTTCGTCCTGTACGGGATTCATCAGGAGTGCTCATACACGACTCCGGTTACTCGTAGGAATCGAACAGAGGACACTCGGTCTTGCGCCTGAACACTTAACCTCTGGACAGCTGAGCCGGTATCCAACGGTCTTTATATCTAATTCTGATCAATATAAGGATTTCGTGCAACCTCACTTTTTGTCTTGAGTAGTTACTGTCTACACCCGACAGGTTTGGACTCCACTGGTCACGTTTTCTCACTAGAACTCTGGGAACCTCACGAAGATAGTCAATAGTGGGTAAATAGTGAGTCCGATAGCAGGACGAAACGGCCGACCAGTGCTTCTAGGTTTCTAATAGTGGTCTAAAAATGATTTATTCATGATTTCAAGGTAGAAAAACAATCTCCATAATACCATAAAGCAAAATCGAAAAGTTTAATAGTGAAGTCTTCATCATTGCCTTTCTCTAGAATATTATCATTATTCACTTTAATAAGGTGTAAACGTTCAGAATAGAAAAGAACCATGAATAATATACAAGAATATGTATGCAGTAAATTAAATAATTGTTTGTCTTTCATTATGTGATGTACGATACACGGATCAAGTTTGTTGTAACGCTTGCTTAGATAATTCCCGGCTAAATTCTATTGCTTAGTAGTATTCTCTGACCACAATACACTGGACAAGTTCCCAAGAATCAAAAACACGATGGAACAGGAAAAGATAGAAAGGTTAAATGGAAATAAGAAGCCAAAGGTTATGGCGAAGGCGAAGGCAAAAATAGATACAACGTTAGTTTATTTATAGCATTTACATGAGAAGCTCCTGGATAGAAATTCACGTGATCGACTGGATTAGATTTAACCAATCAGCACGCAGCTAACAGTACGAGAATCTTCTACCCCGTTCTCCAAGATTCGATCAGGCGCTGATTGGATAGGAAATTAGCCAATCAGCGCGTAGCAACGTAGTCATGCTTTAATCCCATCTATTTCCCACTAACAAAGTTGTACAATATCCAAAGCAATAAGTTCCTTTTCGAAATAGTTAAAGTAGATAACTGAATGTGAGAAAATGTTTTATCAAATTTGTAATATGATTTTACACTTGAATAATAATGAAACATCTGATATAATTAAAACTTCTACAATTACGTTTTCTACATACACTACTCTATGGGAATAAACAATTTATCAGTAATTGGGAACTACACATTGTAATGTTTTGGAAACTTAAAGTGAAGACTGTGGTTTGATGACCTAATCTACGACTACTTGGTCACGTTTTTCCATTGAATTTCATCTTTAGCAGTCAGCACTTTAAAGCATAGAGTTAACAAATCGAGCTCCAGTCGCAAAAAGGTCTTGCATGACTGGTTTCAGTGAGTTATTCTTTGGGTACGGAGATCACACTCAGAGGTGACAAAGACTGCTATTAATCGAGGTTCCCTAGCAGGTACCTCAAGAAGTATTTTAACACAGTGTGGGGAACCGGGAACTGACGAATCGCCCACCGCTGATAAAACTTGAAACTGATTTACTTTTGCTAAAGTCAGTATACTAACTATGGAAGCGATAGCTTATTATATGAATTTGGAAGAGGTTACTAAAATAAATTGACAAACACAAATCTGAACAAATAGTAAAACTTTTCAGGTTTTTATATAAACCGTTATACAGTTGCTGACACGTAAAAAAAGACCGAACAAAATACAAGCCCAAATGAAAATACTGACGATAAGAAAAGAAAATGTGGGTAGTTTAACACTTACACAGTTAATTATTTATGGGATAATACAATAACACTAAGCTTCAGAAATGTCACTAATAATTACAGTACAAAATGGTAAACTGAGAAGTCAAAAACACTTGACCAATTTATTTCATTAACCCTAGTAAGCCAGTAAATCAGTAAAAAAAACAACATGAAGGCATAATTTGGCAACACTGCATAGTTTAATTATAATCTACGCACCAGAACAAGAATAAATATAAAAATAAAAAAAGGGTTACCTTTAAACAACTGGGCAACTTGTTTCTTTAATGCAGGTTCAGAGGAGACCAATATACGTTTTGAAAAATTCGACTGAAATGAACAAAAATCAATATGGAAAAAAAAGTGGTGACATAATGTGAATATCTACGAAAAGAAAATTAAAATTGGGTAGATCGTAGAAAAACTATTGGAAAAGAACATTCGAAGGAAAAAATTAAGCGATAACAATTGGCCACTTTTATGACAAACGAAAGGAGAAAAACATAACTTCGGGATGTTTTCATACACTGGTTTATAACCAAAACAACAGTTACTAATGTGAAACTGCGTCTATATTTGATGTTTAAAGTGAGTTCTGAGCAGGAATAGTTAACTGCTAATAACTATACAGGACATGATATTATACAATAAAAGAAACTGAATGTCGATAATTAATTTTCAATTAATTAGTCAAAATATTCCTCATCACAGTGAAAACATTCAGAAAGAAAAAAAGGTAAATGAGTGTTGCCAAAGTTAAACGTATGTCTTTTAGTTGTAGAGATAAATTTAGGAACTAAACAATATAACTGTTTCACATAACAGTGATGCGATCAATCTAAGTATTGTCGATGTTACCGACTCTAAGGGAACATAGGACTATCTATTGAGGATTTGTACACAAATAAAAGAAATTTATTCAATATGCTCTTTTATGTATTTCAGTTGTTTATAATGAATTAAATATCAATAATAATAATAATAATAATAATAATAATAATAAAATAGACTGTATCAAAGTAATTTTTAATACCGATGTGACTATTTAGCTATGATAGGTCCATTCAACGAATACAGATTACACATCAATGTGTACAGACTGAGTTGGACGTAATGTTTCTTTGTGCGATACTTTTTAAAATTGATTTTGTAGTGATAAGCAGGAATATGAGACAAAAATAGAGAGAAAATAATCAAGAATATGATCAAATGTAGGAATGATAACTATAAATGATATTTTTCAATATGTTAGTTGTTTTTTGGCAAGTAAGTTTACCCATATGAAGGAGGGGTAGCTAAGTGTTTAAAGCGTTCGACTTTCAGCCACTGAGTCTTAGACTTCACCCCTGTCCCACTTACTTTGGCTTGTGCAATCGTGTAGTATAATAAGCTCTCACAGTGAGTGTGGTTTATACCCAAGTGCCTGAAGAAACATTAGTAAACTGTAAAGTTTGCGCAGATAACTGATATAATGAACGTCACAGAATGCTTTAGTGTTACAAACAATGAACGCTATATTACGAAAAATATTTACAATTTTATTCTAGGAAATTAGGCATGATCCACTTTCAGTTAAATTGTCTATTTGAACAACTACAAGTAGTACTATGAGAAAAAAAAACTGGAAACTATGATTTAACCGTTAGAATTACCTTTGTCCAACTCATTAGTGTAGATATATCTTGTTCTGCTTTAAATAAATGACTCGGCCAATCAAATGGTCCAATAAATGAAGAAAATGCTGGATGACCTGGATGAACATAAATTTGTTGTGCAGTTTTACGAAGTGGTGTGGGACGTGAACGATTGTTGTTATGATTATTATATGAACCATAAGTTCGCACAGAAGAAGAATCTGTACTTTCACCAGGGCCAATAAATCCACCAGAAGCAGAACGTGGAAAATTATTCATTAGATTAGCTGTTGAATATGCTTTCGTAGTTGTCGGTAAAACTGTTGTCATTGAAGTTTTATTAACATCAGAATCAAATATTTGAAGTGATTCATAAGTATTAGAGTTAAAACAATTACTATCATCCCATATAATGACATTCTTTGTATTCCACATATTAGCACTGTCAATGGTACTACAAACTACTCCATTTGGTAAAACTGTACTCTTAAGTTGTACATTTGGTTGACTTGTTACAATGAATCTAGGCTGTTGAGTGGTAAATAAATCTGTCGGTGACATAAAGCATGCAGGATCGATATTGTTTTCATTGAATTTCAATCCTTTAGTATTTGGTAGAGCTGTGTATGCAATCATAACAATGGATGATAAAAATCAATCAGAAACATTGAATATAAATATAGTAATGAAAAATGAATAATACGCTGAAGTTATTTTTAAAAAAAATTCATACAAGTCTAGCATTCATTCTAATTCCATAAGAAATTTGTATTTGAACTTAAAATGATGGATTCAGATCTTTAAATAAAATGGATAAAAAACAAAACAATTTTTTTTGAGAAAAGTAAACATTAATGCAACCTAGAGGATAGTACATTGTCTGAGTAGAATAATTCAAATGTAAAGTTTGTAGTCTTAATAAGTACTAACTGAAATGATGAATTCATTTAGAAACAGTGGTTTTTTTTTAGTGCATTATTTCCTGTTTTAATGTTGCTATGTAGCTATTCGAAATCATACCGACTGACCAAATTCAGATATTCCAATACGACCCCAAGCAGTGTTCCCAAATTTCCAATATATCAGAACACAACACCATTAGAAGTTGTTTATGAGGACGAGTACAGAAGGAATGAATGGAAGAAATAATAAGCTTTACAGATAATGCATATTTATACAGTTAGGTCGAATATGAAACAACATCGATGTGACATTGACATTTAGGACGACCATAGGAAATGACCAATAAAATTAGACTTCCAAAAATAGTTCTCTTAGGATATTTGATGAATATCCTAACATCTCCGTAAACATTCATCAGCACTTCACAAGCTTTTTGAAAGTTTTCCTAAATATTTATCAACAACTTTAGAAGATTAAATTTCGTTGAAAAATGATATAAACCAGTTGTTAAAAAATGTAAACAAAACTGAAAAATGTCTGGCTGATCTGTACACAATATAATGGATTATATATTAAGCATATAATGTTCTACTGTTACAAGTATTTATGAACATTTGTCTACGCAAAATACTTCGGATTCGTTGGCCAGAAACCATCAGCAACAACCTACTGTGGGAGAGAACAAACCAGATTCCAGTGGAGGAGGAAATCAGGAAGAAGCGGTGGAAGTGGATAGGACACGCACTACGAAAGGCACCAAACTGCGTTACAAGACAAGCCATCACTTGGAACTCTCAAGGTCAAAGGAAAAGAGGAAGGCCAAGGAACACTTTACGCCGAGAGATAGAGAAACACATGAGAGGAATGAACAAAAACTGGAAAGAACTAGAAAGCCAAGCCCAGGACAGAGTTGACTGGAGAAAACTGGTGGGTGGCCTATGCTCCATTGGGGATAACAGGCGTAAGTAATTAAGTAAGTAATGTTCTACTGTTAGGACATTGACAATTCTTATTAAGGGGTACAAACACTTCAAAAATAACTGACAGCAAGTGAATGTAAGAGATAAAGAGTTTTATTATATTAACTTCTACTAAGTAAAGTATACTTGAGATATTCTATGCACCGACATCAATAATATATAAAAGCCTATTCAGATCAGTATTTTTCCCATGTAATTTTTTAAAAAAAAAGTTGTTATCCTATGCAAGTACACCACATGATAATTAACATAAATATTTATAAAGAACAAAATTAAATGTGACATACAACATTGGATGACATTGTTAACAATGATCAATATTGTTATTCTGTTCATATTCACTACTGCTGATACACATGATTGAATAATGCTATTTTATTACAAGTTTAGAGAACAACTAATTCTCAAACTTTCAAATTTTAAGTGAATGACAGTGAACAAATAAAAATTTGTACAAATCACGTAAAACCATAATATATGAAAATCATTTTAAAAAAAAAGTTCTGATTAGATAATTAATAATTTATCACGACAATAAATGTGTACAGTGATAGATAACATGATGATGACTTTACTGAAAATATATTTGTTATCAAAAAGATATATCATATTTCTACTAAGATAATATCAATAATTCAAAAGAATAATAATGTACACAGATCAATTATTTACAGGAGAAAAACACATCAGTGATTCATCAAAACAAAAACAATCTTAATAAAATGATTCTTTTTCTCCTATACTATTAAACTTATCAAGGTTCAAGATTTTTACTTAACAATTTTGTTTAGTCTATATACTTAATTAGAACACTGTACAACTCTTGTTGAATTTATTTGTTTGCATGTCAGTCGGTCAGTCAGTTGCAACGTAGAACTTCGTACGTAAGTACATCAGTTCATGTCGCCATACCACATCAGCACAGAGATATAATTGTCAATTCAAATCCAATAGTAGAAGAGGTAGTAAAGGTATTAAAAGTAATCGTAGACGTTAGAATTAGAAGATATTATTCACGAAGTATGATTCAATGAGATAAGTTTAGAAAGTAAAAACTAGAGGTGTTGAAGAACCCAGAAGATTAGGATTTGAGAGAACACAAAGAATAAATGCACCGGCGTCAGTGGTTCAATGGTAGGATTTGTTTGCATGATGAATTATTTTTTTAGGATCATACGACATGAAAGATATTAATTGTTGAACTATTTATCACATAAAAATGTTCATTAGTGTAACAATATTTTTGTATTTTCTAGCTAATTATTAGTACCAATAACCTGAGTATTTCACTTTCTTTATTTTTTGTCAAAAAGAAACAGTGATTTGAAAGTTACGGCTCATATCAACTGAAGTTTATCAAAACACTAAGAGTAACAGAACTATCTTTATGAATAAATATCATGATTTATGTTAAATACTAAAAACTTACAATGCAAGTCAGTATGTATTTGTTGAGTATAATATTGAGTACGATGAGCTCGACGGGAATTTGGTTGAATAACATGTGCACGTGAAGGATGATTTCGTGACAAGGAAGAGGATAAAGACAAATTTGTACTCGGTGTAGATGAAGGACTAGGATAAGGTTGTGAAGAATAGGGAAAATTAGTTTGTAAATATCCTGTAGGCTGATCAAAAGATGGTGTCATTGAGTTCAGAGATATATGATTTGGGAAACTGACGAAAAAAACACTAGGCATTCCTGAAGAACATAATGTAGATGCTGAACGTGGAGGCGGTGTAGGCGGTCTCAAATAATCTTCTTCTTCATTTACACTTTCATCTAAAGTAGGAAAGTGACGACTGTAGTCAGTTGTAGTATTGAGAAGGCAAGGCGAAGTAGTAGTCTTATTCATTTTACCTGGATCAGAATTATTTTTTATATCTGATGAGAACACATTCCAATTTTCCGAATCAAAATTCATACTATTCGGCATATCCATACTTTCATCAGAATTAGCAGTTGTCAAAGCAGTAGCTGATGACGCACTTGAAAATGAAGTAGGAGATAATGGTGGTGAAGTAGAAGGATGAGGGGATGCGGATAGAGGACTATCAACAGGAAGATAATTCCCGGAAGAAACTTTGATATTAGATTTATTTTGGGAGTCAAAAGAAGAAGATGTGAATGCATTAATTGAACAAGAAACTTTAAGAGGAGCATTCGAAATTTGGGATGAAGAAGTTATGATACATTCAGGTATGCTATCCGGATTAGAGATATCATGAGGGACCATGTTACCTGCCACAGGTTCAATCAATTTTTGTTGAATTAAAGCAGAAGAGTCTTTTGAATTTGATCGATGAATAAGGGGGATTTTCGCATCAGTCAGTGAAGC